GCTTGCTAGGGATGGGATCATAGTTCATTTTAATTAATGTTTCTTCATAATATATGATTTGTGATAATCATATTGAATCATCTTGTCAAAGATAAATATTTTATATCCCTTTTATCAGGGATTACTATATATTTGTCAAAAAGTTTAGATTAAATGTAACCTAGCTATAGTTGTTAGATCAGCATGATATAAAAGGTCAACAATAATAATTATTTTCTTTAAATTAGACAAGAATACTAAAAATATTAAAGACTGAATGTGGTTTTCTTTATTTAATCATTAGATTGCCTGGGGGGGGGGGGGGGGTGCAAATCAAGTTCAGTATTTGACCTTTTATAAAACAGACCCCCGCACATACCTATATAAGGTAAGTATGTAACATGTACAAACAAAAAAATTTTTGTATTTTTTAGCTCACCTGAGCCGAAGGCTCAAGTGAGCTTTTCTGATCACATTTTGTCCGTCGTCCGTCCGTCCGTCTAGCTGTCTATCTGTCTGTCTGTCTGTAAACTTTTCACATTTTCGACTTCTTCTCAAGAACCACTGGGCCAATTTTGACCAAACGTGGTACAAAGCATCCTTGGGTGAAGGGGAATTTAAATTGTTAAAATGATATATTTTTTTTTTCACAAAATATCAAGAAACGACAAAAACAGGGTGGGATCATTAAAAAATCTTCTCAAGAACCACAGGGTCAGAAAAGCTGAAAGTTATGTGGAAGCATCCTGGGGTAGTGTATATTCTAAATTGTTAAAATCATGACCCCCGGGGATAGGGCGGGGCCACAATGGGGAATCAAAGTTTTACATAGAAATGTATAGGAAAAATCTTTAAAAATCTTCTCAAGAACCACTGGGCCAGAAAAGCTGAAAGTTATGTGGAAGCATCCTGGGGTAGTGTAGATTCTAAATTGTTCTAATCATGACCCCTTGGGTAGGTCGGGCCACAATGGGGAATGCACTTTATTACATTTGAATCAAAGCATCCTATGATATGTAGATTTATAAATTGTTTAAATTATGATCATTGGGGTAGAGTGGGGTCAAAATTTGTATTACAAGGGGGAATCTGGTAAAGAACAGAATGGTCAAATCTTCTCAGGTGAGCGATGTGGCCCATGGGCCTCTTGTTTTTAAGTATTGATGTAATTGCATGTTAATTAAGATTTGCTTGTGAGGATGGATGTGAAATATTCAATTGTGCCGTTTCCTTCTTTTTCGTGTGGGAATTATACTCCTCATAAAGGAAATAATCAACTCCCTATGTGTGATTTAAAGAGAATATTAAAGTTGTAAAACACAAAAATAATAATGTTTTGTACTGTAAACATATTTTACATTGTAACACCTTTGCATTTCTCTTGTCCACTTAGATAATCATGTACACACTATCAAATATGATTAAAACAAATGCATACAGAAGCTTATTTCACTTCAAAACACTAAACTCATGAATTTATTGATCAGTTACATGTAACAAAAAAAGTGTGATAAATTTTGAGTGACTTAAATTATGTACCTTAAAAAAGTTTACAGAAATTATCTGGTAAACAAAATTTTACATACCTTTTCTTGTTAAATAATAAAGTTTGAGAAGAATACTCAGAAAGGAAGAAAGATGCAGAGGAAATTTAAGCAAGAGAAGTAGCCTGTCTAGTGAGATTTATAGATAGATAAAAGTTCTTTGTATATGACATGGATTCTGCTTTCTTCTTTATGTTTAAGATGTAGTTTATTAGGCAAGCAGCAAGCTGTGAAATAGTATGTAAGCAAAATGGTAACTAGAAAATAGTCAAGATCTAAGAAATAGTTAAGCTATATTCTAGGGAATAGTGAATTAACATTAGCTTATTCTAGAAAATAATGCAACAAGCTTGCTGTGAATTAGTAAAGCAACAAACTCAGAAATAATAGAACAATATTTTAGCTAGGAAATAGAATAGCAATAAGCCAAGATATATTATAATAGAGCAACAAGCTAGGAAATGGTCCTAGATCAACTAGTTGGAAAATAGTAGGGCAACAAGCTAGGAAATAGTAAAGGAACAACTAGGCAGCAAGTAGGAAATGATAGAGCAGCAAGCCTAGGAAATAGTTAAGCAACTCTCTAGGAAATTGTATATCAACAAGCTATATAGTAAAGCAGCAAGCTTGGAAATAGTAGATTCAAACAAGAAGCTATGAAATGTTAGAGCAACAAGCTAGGAAATAGTAATCCTACAAGTTGAACTTGGAATTAGTAAAGCAACAAGCAAGGAATAGTAAAGCAGCAAGCTAGAAAACTGTAGAGCAACAAGGTTGGAAAATAGTAGAATGACCAGGTAAGAAATAATAAAGCAACAATTTAGGAATTGTAGTCTAGAGCAACAAGCTTGGAAAAGCAGAACAACAAGCTAAAGAAATAATATTGTGTGGAGTTTTTGTCTGAAGCGTACAAAATTAGTTCTTTATTTTCAATTGTGAATGTTTTGTAGAATGTTATTACAATCAAGCTTTAATAAACAATACTATACATTAAATGAAATGGAAACTTATTTAAACAGTTGGAGGTGTTCATGGTTATTTAGAAATGACCTGAGTGTTACTATAAGGATTATCTCTTCTGGTGATCTTGTGTACAAAGGAGTGGGAAACTAAACAAAGATAAACTTTCTATTTGTTTAACTATACAGGTATTTACACCTGATACTTTACAACACATTCAAACAACTCTGCAGTATATAGCTACAATTACCTGTGGATATTTACAACGTAATGTAACAGCTTGTTAGATATTGAGAATAATAAGATTATAAGGATGTCAGTAAAGCCAAAAATAAATTTGAGTAACGTTATGGTTGGTTTCCGTGGTTTATGAAACATTTATAACATTACTGTTACCATCATAATAGTATACCGGTATCTAACACTTGTGTTACCCTCTGAAAGGTGTCTTCACTTAAGTCTTAATACAGATGTTAATTTTGAAAATAAATGTACTCAGATGGAGAGTCAAAATAATTTTGTGTTTTATGAAGCACTTTATATAATAAAATAATTGTATTTTTGCCATTATTGCAGATATTTAAATCAAATTATTACCTTCATATTCATTTGTAAAAGAAATTGATAACCCCCAAAAATGTCTTAATTTTTTTTTTGGGGGGGGGGTGTCTTTTGAAAGGTATTTATTTTGGAATATCTAATTGTAAAGTTTAAATTGACTTGCAGTTTCCGACCTTTAATGATATAACTTTATTACATCAATTATCACACTGACTCTTTAAACCTTACACGAAACGACAGTGTACTGTTACATAAGGGTACACAATTCTCTGCTAATGTATTGGCCGGTGGGGCCTCGGGGTGGTTCTACCTGTCAGCCAGGAAGATAGATCATTAAGCACCCGGGCAGGGATAGACAGGGATGTTTTTCTCCTTCCTTAATTAACATCAGAGCTGTCTGGGGGTGCTTTGATTTAATACACTTGATGTTCATTGTGATTTCTCTTGTAGCAGAAAAATTTTTTTTAAAAATCTTTCATTTTTAATTGGACTGTATAAATTGTGAACATGGAATACAAATTGGTGAACATGCTCATGTTAGGTGGAACAAGAGAATTATTTGCATGCATTCCTTTGGAGAGGAGATTATGAATAAGATGCAATTTGCGTGGTGAAAAAGGGGATAGACTCCATTTCATTATATAAACAGCAGATTAATGGAATAATGGACAATCTGGATAATCTAGAAGCTTTGTCGGAGAATTCGGACTCAGATTATATTATCATGTCCAATGTGAGTCGAGACCCCCCTGTTATAGAAGGGGAGGACACTCCGTCTATTTTTAGTATGCTGATGGAGTTGATCTGGACTTATTCTTGTACCTTGTGCAGGTATTTTAATTCTTAATTAGGTAATCCATTAAATTCCATTAGGTGTATATGACCAAGGAAAGCAGGATATGGTTTATTAGAGTAAGCTGAAGAAATTCAGTCAGAAAATAATTATTACTAGCTTCTTTGATATTAAATTCAGAAATAAAATCTGATAATGATGAGATTTTATAAATCTATTGTTACTTTATTTTGTGTTGGTTTAAATTGGATTAAATTAAAAATAAATCTTCAAAAATTTGAGTAAAAATTGGATTTTTAGTCAATTCAATGTCTTATGGTAAAATTTTTGTGACAAGGTGAATATTGCTCATTTTAAGGCTGTGTCCTTAATTCTATAAATACTGATGTATCTTTGGACAATAAATATCATGATATTCATAAAGGTTTTTTTGTGCCTATATTAAGAGAAATTAAGCATCATTCAGGAATATATTCATTCATAATGTCGTAAGACGTGAAATCTAACATGAGGCCCGATATGCCTGACATGTGACAGGGTTGTTTATATGTATAGGATAGGAATGTTTTATTAGGAACATCAACGTAATACACTTCTAGTCACCCCGCATCAGTGAAGACGATTGGTAGTCCGTGTATATATGTATGTAGGAGAAACAGGAAATCATGTAACTGTATGAACACAATAAAGGAAGAATAGATTGTTGTATTCAATGACCAATTTAAGTTTATTAAGGACATTGCTATCATCTGAGGACAACAGTTTAAAGGGATCACACCTCTGTATGAAGGAAAATATCAAATATCTGTGTACGAATTAAAGCTTTATTCATGCATCCATATACTGGAACACATTATATACCATTTCTGATGAAATTCCCTGATGATAAACACCCCCCCCCCCTTTTTTGGCTTATTATGCTATATTTAACTGTAATATAGCTTTTTATCCAGCCAAGAACTTTTGATGGATGATTTTGATAGCATATAAACTTAATGTAATGTCAAAAAATTTTGAGACATGATAAAAACCTTTTAATGTCTGCAGAGAAAGAATCAGTGAGTGAATGTTTAATAAAAATCTATATAAAAGACTGAGAGTCTCTGATTAAATATTTGTCAGCACTCTGCTTTACTCTGATTTGCATATCTGTATATTTGCAGAAGGAAGAAGAAAGCCACATTTGACACAGCAAGTAAGATTTCAGAGCCCAGGCTTGGGGAACAGTACAGGGCCATAGCTGACTATACGAAAGAGGACAAATGGGACCTAAATCTGAAAGCTGGCACGGAGGTCGAGGTCATAGAGAAAACGGAAAGTGGTAGGTATTGCCAGTATAGATCTATATACAGTACATCGGAACAAAGGATGGCGTCCCCTAGTTGTTATGATCCCTTTAATATACTTTCTACCAAAGCTCTTTTGTGGGACATTCCTTTACCTTCCACCTAGAAGGTTTACAGTAGTTTTGTAATGTTCATGTCATTGTGTAAAATAACACTGTAAAGGGGTTCAGTTGTAATAATTTAGATGTATAGAGACTAACTAAATTAATGTCATTAATGTGAGGATTCAAAAAGGAAGACATTTAATTCATACATGTGAAAGGAAACCACAATGCAAGCTTACATAATGAAAACTAAACTCTCAATTTGATTAAAGGGTTACACTTCTCATTTACTTTTAAATTTTTGCTTGGGGGTTGGGTTTCTTATAGTTTTTCTGTAATTATTTTTGGGGGTTTATATAATTACTACATATTTGTCTGAATATGAGAATGAGGTTGTTCCTATCATAAATCTTTCTTGGAAAATAAAGTGTGCATGATTTTTTGTATCTTTAAAATTCATTTTTTGTAATTTTCTTTCCTTTGAACATGATAGTAACCAATGAATCAGAAGCAGACATTGACAGTGTATTTGATAGACAGTCTGTCGTTTTGTATGAGAATGACACCCATACAGACATAAGAGGTGTCTTCTTTTATCAGAATGACTCAGACGGAGAAAGTCATAATTATGGTAAAAAAATTATTTTAAAAAACTGTTCTGGTGTCATGGTTTATTTCACATCTATGGTAGTTTGCTGACAAGGAGATAATTACATAAAAAAGAACTACATGACCTTTCTGAATTCACTCTAGAGAATCAGTTTCTTTATGTTGACATATGTCAATCTGTTTTGCTATATACCGTGGGGGGTTGTACATGTTATATACATGTATTGTAAAACTTTTTGTCAGCAAGCTCTGTAGTGTTCTGGTTGTGGTGAATTTTCAGGCTGGTGGTTTGTCCACGTTCAGGACCAACAAGGATGGGTGCCCAGTACTTATCTAAAACGGGCGGACGGTACCAAAGAGGAACTGAGTGAACGGGCGAGGCCCGGGGAAGGTGACTGGACATTGATAATATTGCTCCTGTTCTCATAATTTAGTCCCCTTTGTTCCTAGCTAAGTGTGGGTCATTGATACATTAACTGCATGAAATATGAACTTACAATACCTATTAACCATACATTTTTTTGGAAAATTTTTATTGTTATGTATTTACAATGTACAAGAAACTTAAACTGTATTTCTAAATTAGAGACATTTTATTAATGATTGTAAGTGGGTCAATATTTGGTTATCAAAACATAATTCTGAAATACATGTGTATAGATTTTGTTTCTTGACTACGTTTTGATTCAGAGTTACATAATTTAGGCATGTGAAAGGTCTATCAATTAGGACCATGCACACTCATATAAAGGTGTATTGATACACAAATAAAAGATATGATTAATTTTGTTGTCAAAATAGAATTAAGATTCAAATTGAAATGAGAGCTATTCATTGATTATTTTTACAGCCAGCTTGCATCAGTTTAATTTTGTATTCCAGTGGATAAAAAATTATATATCCCTCTATACCACCAAAATGGTAGATTTTGTATGTTGTATAATTGTGAACTCTTTTAGTACAATTTAAATTGAAAAACATCAGTATGGTTTAATATGTTTATTTTTTCTGCAACATTAAAAAAATATTTTGTTTTTACCTTTAAATGTAATTTTTTTACAATCAGTATTATCAAAGTTAAAAGTTCCTTTATTGATTTTATACAATCACACATATATGAATTTTTTTTACAATCAGTATTATCAAAGTTAAAAGTTCCTTTATTGATTTTATACAATCACACATATATGAATCACCACACAAAAGTATAGGAATTTGATATCCATTTTCCTTTAAGAAATACATGTAAACTGATACATAATAGTACGACTAAGGAAGTGTTGCTAACGATTTTGTGATGAATTCTCTCCCTTAGAGGAACAGTTCATTTGCACCGATGATTACTACCCCGCTAATTCCGACGAGCTGCCCCTGGAGAAGGGGGCAGTGGTGGAGGTAGTGGAGAAAAATCTGGATGGCTGGTGGTGGATCCGGTGAGTTTTAGCTGTAAATCGGTGGAGTTTACATTGTTCCACATTACAGTGTTATGAGTCCATCATTGGTACGAAATATCATTTTTTCTGGCTGTTTGGTTTTTAAAGGAACTTGAAGAATCATGGGTGAAAAAATCACATCAATTCAATCAAAATTATATTACAGTCATTGTTAATAAGTAAAAAGATGAAATTGTTTCAAAAATAATATCCCTTAACCAGTATGTCCTTGCTAGTGATCTTATTTTACAAAGACATAAAATGTTGATGATTATATGTTTTTGAAGTGTACACTCCCTGATGGAAAAGGTTTTGCATTGTTAAAAAAGGATAATAAAATGATAAAAATTCATATTTATAGAAAAAATGGAAAAGAGGGATGGGCACCTGCGACATACATGATGAAGGCTGAGAAAGCTCACATGGAGAGAGTCGCACGCGCCTCAGGAGTCCAGATAGTGGGGGGACTACAGGACATCAGTGATCTAATGCAGGACGAAGGGGATGACTCGTGGGATGACGAACCAGACCCCCCGCCCCGCCCCACTAAACCCTACCTGTCTAAAAAGTCCCTGTCCCTAGAGAGAGGAGGATCCATCAGGCCCCCTCCCAGACAGAGCTCTATCAAAAATGTAAGGAAATGAAAATATTATGATAAGGGAAGTAACTCCAAGAAAGATAAAATTCTTGGAAAAGTGCATGTGTATATTGTTTTTAATTTTTTTTTTTTCAGATTAAAATAGATATAAAACCTCCTAAACAGAAGAAAACTCAGTATGTAACTATTGCTGACTTTACTGACACAGTTGGAGATGGTATCAGCTTCTCGAAAGGTGAAAATGTTGAGGTAAGATCTTAAGCTTTCCAGTTTGAAAGTCAAATGTTTTTGTGCAGATTTGTTGACTTCCTAAAAACAAAAGAGAAAAACTTAATTTCACAAAAGATTTGTTTTCTGTAGGTGAAGCAGAAGACAGCTGATGGTTGGTGGTTTGTGAAGATAGGAGGTAATGAGGGCTGGGCCCCCTCTACTTACATAGAGGGCAAGGAGATGGCAGATATACAGGAGGTATATATACAGATTAAAAAACACCAAAAGCGGGATATCTCTGAAAGTGACCGTAGGAAAGTCTGCATCTTCATAATTTATTGTCAGTAGCTTGTATGATTAAAGTTAGATATATTATGTGTAATTATAAAATAAGATAACTCTTTGTAGTGCAGACTTTCTCCATTGTTAATCATATCCAAAATAGTTTTTCTAAAATTTAAATGGAAAATATTTAATTTCTTAAATTCTTTTGGCAAACATCAAAATTAATATTTAAACATTTACTGGCATGCTTCTTCTATAGTAAAGGTTCTTTGATATTTAACAAAGCATTTTGAATATATGATTAAGAAAAATCTTGATAATATTTATATGTATAAAAATACCATTGTAATATCTCTCTCTTTTTTATATAAAGCAATAATTTTCTAATGTAACTTTCAATCTTTATACATTTTAAAATTTTGTATTGCATGAATATCAGACAGATTTTCTGTGAAATGAAAAAAATGCATTTTATTCATCAAGTCTTTCAAAATCATAATTAATCTAATAAAGAGTACATGAACAGTATCACCAAAAAAAAATTTGTAAGAAAGATAAAAATCTGTACAAACAAGAAAATCTGTCTGAAGATGAATATATATATATAATCTTTCTCCTATCCACTATCTTTCTTCATTTCTCAGGATAACATACCTAATGATGTACGTTACGATGAAAACTATTCTGAAGTAGCTATTGATAGTGATGAAGAAGATTATGAGCATCCAGACACCTCGATTCGCAACAATGAATACGAAGAGGTTAAATATGAAGTCCCAGTCAATAATAATAATGAGGAGGGAGAAAAACCTAAATTTGTGTTTTCTAAACAGCCTGATATACCCAAACCACCAGATCTGGTGAAGGAGAAGCCTGAATCTGTCCGGCCGACTAGTCAGGCTGAGTTGAGGGTCAAGAGGAATGCCAATGCCATAAAACGGCCAACTTCCAGACCCCCTCCACCACCTGTTGGATTTGTAGCAAATAGGGACAGCAGTCCAAAGCCTCCCCCCATAGACCGCTCCTCTCTGGCTGCCGCTTTAAAGAATAAATTAGATACAAGGATATCAGAGGAGGTGTCAAAACCTGATTTAGAAGCAAAGTCATCTAGCTCAAGTTCAGATTCTGACAAGAAACCAGTTCTACCACCAAAATTACCCATGAGACCGGACAGTGTAGGACAGAACTCTCCTAAACTCTCAGTGCCGCCACAAGTGCCAAGGGAGAGAATCCATAGCGATGGTGGGAATAATTTAGCTGAAATACTGAAGGCAAAATTTGAATCTCGGAAAACCACAACTGATGAAAATGACAATACAGATAGTTCAATTTTTAATACATTCCCCAAAAAGACTGGTGTACAGGTTTCCCAGCTGCCTCTTAGTCAAGCAAGATCAAATCCTGATTTTTCAAACAAAACAGTTCCAAAACCAGAAAAGCCAGGAGTACCCCCTAAATTTGATAAACCTGCTGTTCATCTGAAACCAGCAAAGAATGAGGCAGCCCATAAAAGACTGAGCATGCAGGAGGAAAGTTCAGAATTAGCAAATGCTTTACAAGCAAGGCTAAGGAGACAATCAAATGTTGAAGTAATAACATCTCAACACTATAGTGCTGTAGAAAAACCAAAGAAATCCTTTCCATCAAAGCCTGTAGTTCCAGAAAAAACCATCAGTGAGAACAGGACACCAATTCTCCCACCTAAAATAGAATTGAATAAGACAGGGGGCAAAGAGGATTCTAAAACAGCTGTGACAAAAGCAAACAAAACTGACAAGAACGTTCAGCCAGGTTGGAAAAAAGAATCATGCAAGCCCAAGTCAAAACCACCTGTTCTTGCAAAACCTAAAAAGCCAGTGCTACCTAAAAATGAAGTGAAGGACAATAAAAATGTGGGGGGTTCCCCTCAGTCTCTTGTGAAATGCGGTTTTGCAAAGGATCTGGCTTCAAAGTTATCTTCTAATCTTGGAAAAGAAGACACAAATACTGACTGTAAACCCGCAATACCGAAGAAATCCCCAATTGTTAAAAAAATATATGGTGCAAAATTAGAAGACTCTGAGCAAGGTAAAATATCCTCAAAATCATCTGCGTCATCGCAATCCTATAAAACTATTGCAAAATATCAAGCAGATGGAAATGGGGAAATTTCATTTGAAGAAGGAGTGGAGTTAGAAGTGTTGAGAAAAACTGAGGGTTGGTGGTTGGTGAGGGTGGGAACCAGTGAGGGATGGGCCCCAGCCACTTACATTGAGCCTTGTGGGTGTGCACCGAGATCCCCTTCCCCTATTTGTGATTCTGGATTTACCTCCCCTGAAGAGGGAAGTAACTCTGTCTCTTCAGTCAAATACAAAACTTGTGCAGAATTTATTCCAGAGAGTGACACAGAACTTGGATTTAAGGAGGGCTGGGTGGTAGAAGTGCTTGATTCATCTGAGGATGACTGGTGGTATGCCAGGGTTGATGGGAGGGAGGGATGGGTACCAGCTGAATACCTAGAGGAAGTGTGATAGAATATGGGGTCACCTTAAAAAATGTATTATTGCCCTCTCTCGACTAAGTCAGAAAAGGGCAAACAAGCATTAATTTATAGTTGTCTTGGGATGTATGAATAATACTTGTGGTTGAATATCATTTATGTGCAATATTATTTATCATACTACAGTATTTGCATTGGCAGATTTCTTATTTTGAGAATTTTTTTGGCAGATATCGAATGCAGACACTCTTAATTAATTGCTGTGTATGATCTGCTGAGTATTTTGTTTTTGAAACTTTTTTCATCATTTTGTTTCTTCATATCATTGAAAGGAAAGAGAGAGTCTAAAATAATGAATGCTGTTATGAATGTATTGCCAACCTATCTTTTTAGCTCACCTGAGCCGAAGGCTCAAGTGAGCTTTTCTGATCACATTTTGTCCGTCGTCCGTCTGTCCGTCCGTCCGTCTGTTACAGTGTAAACTTTTCACATTTTAGACTTCTTCTCAAGAACCAATGGACCAAATTTAACCAAACTTGGTACAAAGTATCCTTGGGTAAGGGGGAGTTTAAATTGTTAAAATGCAGGGCTAATGTCCCTTTCCAAGGGGAGATAATCAAGAAAAGAAAAATATAGGGTTGGGTAATTAAAAAATCTTCTTCTCAAGAACCACTGGGCCAGGAAAGCTGAAACTTATGTGGAAGCATCCTTGGGTAGTGTAGATGTTAAATTGTAAAAATCATGACCCCCGGGGGTAGGGCGGGGCCACAATACGGAATGCAAATTTTACATAGAAATATATAGAACAAATCTTTAAAACTCTTCTTCTTAAGAACCACTGGGCCAGGAAAGCTGAAACATATGTGGAAGCATGTTTGGGTAGTGTAGATATTAAATTATTAAAATCATGACCCCTGGGGGAAGGGCGGGGCCACAATAGGGAATGCAAGTTTTACATAGAAATGTATAGAACAAATCTTTAAAAATCTTCTTCTCAAGAACCACTGGGCCAGGAAAGCTGAAACTTATGTGGTAGCATCCTTGTGTAGTGTAGATGTTAAATTGTAAAAATCATGACCCCCGGGGGTAGGGCGGGGCCACAATACGTGCAAATTTTACATAGAAATATATAGAACAAATCTTTAAAACTCTTCTTCTCAAGAACCACTGGGCCAGGAAAGCTGAAACATATGTGGAAGCATGTTTGGGTAGTGTAGATATTAAATTATTAAAATCATGACCCCTGGGGGAAGGGCGGGGCCACAATAGGGAATGCAAGTTTTACATAGAAATGTATAGAACAAATCTTTAAAAATCTTCTTCTCAAGAACCACTGGGCCAGGAAAGCTGAAACTTATGTGGAAGCATCCTTGGGTAGTGTAGAAATTAAATTGTTAAAATCATGACCCCCGGGGGTAGGGCGGGGCCACAATACGGAATGCAAATTTTACATAGAAAAATATAGAACAAATCTTTAAAACTCTTCTTCTCAAGAACCACTGGGCCAGGAAAGCTGAAACATATGTGGAAGCATCTTGGGAAAGTGTAGATTCTAGATTGTAAAAATCATGACCCGCGGGGGTAGGGCGGGGCCACAATAGGGAATGCAAGTTTTACATAGAAATGTATAGAACAAATCTTTAAAAATCTTCTTCTCAAGAACCACTGGGCCAGGAAAGCTGAAACTTCCTTGGGTAGTGTAGAAATTAAATTGTTAAAATCATGACCCCCAGGGGTTGGACAGGGCCACAATAGGGAATCCAAATTTTAAATAGAAATATATAGAACAAATCTTTAAAAATCTTCTGCTCAAGAACCACTGGGCCAGGAAAGCTGAAACTTATGTGGAAGCATCCTTGGGTAGTGTAGAAATTAAATTGTTAAAATCATGACCCCCGGGGGTAGGGCAGGGCCACAATAGGGAATCCAAATTTTAAATAGAAATATATAGAACAAATCTTTAAAAATCTTCTGCTCAAGAACCACTGGGCCAGGAAAGCTGAAACTTATGTGGAAGTATCCTTGGGTAGTGTAGATATTAAATTGATAATATCATGACCCCCGGGGTTGGGCATCGCTGCAATAGGGAATGCAAGTTTTACATAGAAATGTATGGAACAAATCTTTAAAAATCTTCTTTTCAAGAACCACTGGTCCAGGAAAGCTGAACCTTATGTGGAAACATCCTTGGGTAGTGTAGATTCTAAAGTATTAAAATCATGTAAGGAGAGGGGGGTAGGAAGGGCACGATAGGTATAGCAAGAGGGGAAATCTGCTAAAGAACTGCATTACCCAAGTTACTCAGGTGAGCGATGTGGCCCATGGGCCTCTTGTTGAGTTGTTACATTTCATCATGTTCATTAGGAATTATAAATATAATGTTAAGTTTGTAAATTGAAATTGGAAATGTGTTTGCCTTCAGTTGATTTATTTCTGCATAAACTGTGCAAATGTTTCATGTATGAAATTTTGTCTTTAGTGCTGAATTGAGAGCTAACATTCTCTTGTCAATGCTTACAATTCTAAAACATGCAATGAGAGGAATCATGCAAAGTCTTCCACTTTTCAAAGAATGATGTACATACTATATAAAGTCAGTCACTTCGCCTGGTACACTGTATCATTCTAAAACTTAAGGTTTACGAACCCTCAAAAGAGGTCAATCTCACATGAATAACTGTTTTCCTAAAAAAATTTCAAATAAAAAGCAATTTCTGTTATTAAATTTTATTTGAAATTTAAAAAAAAAAAGGATGACAAACTTTGAATTAAAAAATCTACATTATTATGAGGTATTTGATGCATGACTTCTCTGTTCATATCATTGTTATGCTGCATGCAGTATGTTCATAGTGATGCAATCTTTTTTCATTATTTATCTTTGCAACAATATATATAAATATTTTTTTAATTAGAATTTTAATGCATATATATTTTTACATATTTTTATACCTCATGACAAACTTTATCTTAATATTTACACTGTATTATCAATGGTTGTGATGATAATATTTTGTATATTGACTTGTACTGTAAATAAAGTGCATTTTAGATTTTTTTTTTTAAGAATCTGTTTTTACACATCTGAACTTCTCCAAGAAAAAAAAAACATTGACAGTTGAGTGAATTAAACGTTTTTTCATATGAATTTATCTTGCAGAAGAAAAGGCACGGCTCTGAACCAGAGGATGATTATGATGATATTATAGAATCTGGCATTCCACGAAAAAACTGATCTTCCTATACTGTAAAATAACAAATATTGTAATATTTGGACTAAAAAAAAGAAAAGTTAAAACACACTTGATTGCATGTGTTTATAATTGGTGTTCATTTTTGCATTTCATCACATTTTGGTAGGCTATAGAGACACATAATTCCTATCCCTTACTTTCAATTAAATCCTTAGAGATGCAGATTCATATTTCATTTGCTTGGAGGGTGTAAAATACTAATAAATATTTATATTAAAATATTTTTCGAAGTCATATTTCATTTTTTTCTTTATCAGAAAAATTCTGATTGATGAATTATGTTCATTATATTTATTACATATGGTACCTTGTTAAGTACAGACTTATTCATTCAATCACCTGACTGTATTAAATAATTTTTACAGCATTTGTTATGACTACCGTTACTAACTTGTTTAATATAAACAAATAGAGTGTACATTTTTCTACAAAATAAGAACTGGTTTGTTTGCCTTTCTCTCCTAATTTTCATCTGTTTTGGAATAGGATACACATGTATGTTGTTGTTGAAATATTGTTAACATTTGTTAGGGCCATGAAAAATTAAACATTTTAAAACATGTTCTGTTTTAGCTTTTTTGTGGATATCTGATATGGAATTCAGTGAGATAAATTGTAATCTAGATTAAAATGAGGAAAAAGTTGAATTCAAGGTCAAAGGGAAGAACAAGGACAATTAAGTTAGAAGGGTTATTAATGGAGGTCAAGGTCTGAAGAACGTTAATGTTAGAAAATTATTTATAGCTAAAGACATGTACATAAATAAAGTTGATAACAAAAATATCATGAAGAGTTTCATTAAAAACCAAAATAATGTAGAACAAGAAATGTATGAAGGTCATAAGGAAGGTGATGGTCATGAAATAATGACACTGATAACATGCTCTAGTCATAATTATTGATTGATGTTCTATTTAAAAATTGATTAATAAGGTTCAAAGCCTTTGACCTTTGACAAAGGTCAGGTTCGGGTCAGAAAACTTGGACATAGTTGATTTGCTCTCACCAATGTTATTCTTTTTTACATAATATTATTTCTTGCCAATTTGCATCAGGGTATGTAGTTTGATGGAAATGTCTTGAGCAATAATTTGTTTTTTTGAAACTAGAGTAAATTAGAAGGAAATTGTGAGATGATAAGAAAAGGTGAATTATGAAACGATAATTTAATTAGCTCTCATCTGTATATATCTTTTGAAAAGTATTATAAACTGGTCTAAGCGAAAAATGAGAAATGTCGAGAGCCAGAATCGTAGAGGATTTAGATCAAGGTCATAAATGATGATACAGCTTAGTAGCTTTCACGAATTTGGAAATTCTTTCTTTCGTTCAGTTTCTTTGCAACTGAGCTAAACGAAATATGACAGATGGAATTGAGCTGGAAGATAAACATACCAGAAGTAATCAAAGTACTCAGAAGTACAGAGAGCCGGGCTCATTTACAGAGTAGAATGGATTTCCTACATGAATCACGTTTATATTCTGATGAAAAAATTATTTTAAAACTTTCAATATAAATGATAAGACACTGACAGTGAGTTTTTCAATCCTAATACCACGGTCCGATTTTGTCAGAATCAGAATTAATCTGGTACCGCAGCTGAAAGTAAACAAACAGGCCAGTCTGGTTCCCTCTCCTGCTTTACCTTTGTCGTATGTGTAGAGAACTACGGTAACACTGATTATCAAAAATCCTTACGCTAATGAACTATGTTCTTTGACTTATGAAGTTTTCAAAGTCATTACTACTAATGTTTATTTTATATAGATAAAACTTCGTTTTATTTTTGTTGCTTTATTTAGCGTTTGTATTATCTCAAATGCGGAAATTGAGAGAAAAGGTGAATTATATTTTTGCACGTATATATCTTTAAAATGGCGACTATGGGGTCAACATCCTGCCTTGAACAGGATCACATAAGACGGCAATTGCTCTTTGAGCAATAAGCCCGGCTAAAAACCAAGGTCAGAATTCAGGCTTGTTTTGCGACTATCTAGAGTGGGGCCACG